TAATTTAAAGAAAACATTCCTGCTTTTTTTTTTTTTTTTTGTTTTTTTTGTTAAAGAGCGTTTGTTGGCCTTAGATCCATCAAGCCTTCAGCTACCATTTTCAAGGTTGTGGTACTGAGTTCTTAATTGCAGATAGTCACCTGATCTAGCCCTTTGAGGCCTTAGAAAAACTGAAAAGGCTGAGGGAGGAGAGGCATCTTATTACTAATTCTCTTCAGGTACTGTTATGGAACTGATAACTGATGTTTTTTGCATTCAAGATGAAGGATATTCAAGTCAATATTTGTATGTCGTTATTTTTTCTCTGTTATGTTGAGCAAAATGTCAGGACTGTACCATAGAGCAGTGCTTCTCAAATGTATGTAGAGACATCTTATCAAAGGGAGAAGCATCTTACAAGAATTCTTTGAATTTATCCAAGCCCCGCAAACACAAGATACTTGTTTTGTTGCATACAGGTGTCTTTCATGACTTCCAGTTATCAGGTTTCTTGCCTGGTTTGTATTTGGAAATATTTTACTTTTAGTTTATCATAGAAGTAAAAACAAGTCTTGAACTTTGGACTTTTGAGAAGACTCTGGTGTTCTGATTCCATTTTGAGAAACCTTGCCCCAGAGGTGAGCCCACTGGTCGGAAGTGAGGGGCTCTGATGGTCTCCAGGAGGTTCTAGTTTCTAGTAGATTCATAAAGTTCTAGATCAAATCGTATGATGCTGTCTAATGAGATTTTTGTTTGCTTGCGAGGATACAGGTAATTTTTAAAAAATTCCATCTATATAGCATGTACGTATGTATAACTTAAAGATACGTTTGATTTATCAACTTCAAATATTAGGCAATCTTATTTAGAGTGGACATCCATGCTTTTCTTAAACCCCGGATATTTGTGCTATATTGTCCTTGCAGTTTTTTGAGTTTATTATTTTTTAGTAATCTCTACACCCAACGCAGGGCTTGAATTTATGGCCTTGCAATCAAGAGTCACAACCTCTTCCGACTGAGCCACCCAGGCACCCTAGTTACTACATTTTTCCCTTTGCCCCAACTGCCTTGAACTACACTGTTCCTTTGTCAGTTTCTGACGTGGCTTCATACCTGGCACCTGCCTGTTCTGTTTGTGGCTTTGGGGCCCCTTAAGAAGGAGGAGATGGTAACCCGAGTGTGTTACCTGGACGTGGACTTACCTGTGAGTGAGGACGCTGTTAGTTTCCTAGGGGCGTCACAGCAAAACTTATGAGAATCTGTTCTTTACCTCTTCTTCCTTCTGCTGGCCGTCAGTGTGCCTGGACCTGTGATTCCATCTCTGTCTCTTTGGTCCAGCTGCCTCTTCTTCTGCTTGTCAAGTCTCCCCTGGGCCTCACTCTTCTAAGGATACTTGTCATTGGATTCAGAACTCACGTGGATCATCTAGGATCAGTATCTCCTGTCAGAATCCATAACTTAAAATCACATCCCAGTCTTGCAAAGTAGTATTTACTCTTTGACCATACAAGGTGACGTTCGCAAGTTGTGGGCATTAGGACATAGCGTTCTCTGTTTTGGAGGGGGGGGGGACTCATGGGTCACTATTTAGCCCCCCTACTGTCACTTACAGCCCTAGATTTCTTCTAGCTGACAAAAACATCAATGCAGAACATTGGACGCTCAGCAGTCTTAACAGCTGCCACTTTGCTTTCTAGGGAACTGGGTGATATACTGGTCTTCTGTCGCATCCTCCTCTGTTTTTTTGGTCAGTAAAAACATGGCGCGTACTAGGCACCGGGTAGGCACGGAGGGATACCCTTTAAGGCACTACAGATACCACGTCTGCCTTTCATGGGGTTTGCATTCCACTGGAGACTTCCAGTGCGTTCCTTCTACTTTGAACTCTTAGCACCCGCTAGCCCGTACGGATGTTTCCCTCCCTCTGCCCTCTCAGAGAGTCCTGCCTGTTGTCCGCTATTGACAGCTGTGTTTCTGGTTGAGTGCTTTAGGTGAACATGAAAATTCATAGCCGCCCTAGGGGAGGAGATGAACCTGATGTGGTTGGTGGGCAAGGGACAGCCACCATGGTCTTGCCACTTCCCCATAATGAAAGCTGCCCTCTGGAGAACTCAGAGTAGACCCTGGGGTGTATGACATGGCTATTTCCAACACTAAAATGGGCGCTCTCTCCATCGTGTGCCATATGCTGATCATCGTCCGCGTGATGATCATCACTGTGGTCATCATCGTATTTGTCTTCATCGTTTTCTTCCTCCTCATGAACACAACTCGTAGAGCACATGTGAAAGGTCAGACCCTGTGCCAAGTAGGTTGTGCACATTACCATGGTTAATTCCCATACAGTTCCCAGAGGGAGCTACTATTATCACTCCATTTAACAGATGAGGCAAATGAGCCTCAGAGGAGAGGTTACCTGTTTCTACTCCTGTGGCTAGCCCATGTCTGAGCTATTCAATCCAGAGCCCGAGTTTTACCAGTAAACAACCTGCCTCTTGATTCATCCTGCACAGTGGGCTTTCAGGTTTCAAGGAAATGAGGGCTAACCCAGACCATAGTTATTTGAGAGGGAGTGCAATGATTTATTCAAGGTCCATTTGCTTTGGGATATTTCATGTCTCGTCTGGCTTCTTCTTAGTTCACTTTCGGAATATAATGGATCTGGAATGAACAGGGCCCCAGTCATTGGAGTTTCTTGTCTCTCCCTTCACTACTTTAAATGGGAAAGTCTTTGTGGATCAGAGGAGAGGTTGATGGATTGCATGGTGTCCCTCAGTGTTGGGGGGGGTTTCTGAAGAGTTTGCTATGGAGATGTGGGGAAATCGGAGAGCACTCTGCCAGCTCTTTGACGGGAGGAGGTCCAAGCAGGTTGTTTTCTGATTAGGTGCAATTAAAAGCATATTTACAGAGAAGAATCTGAAGCTTAACTATTTGGTCATCTCCTTGAGGTATCGTGTTAGCTCTGAAGTATCCGTGGTTCTAGTGAAATGAATGGAATTCCTTTCCTCCTTCAAACAGATACAGAACATCTACCGTAAAGCATTGTCCTTGGTGTTGGAGATAAAGCAGTGAGCAGAAAGAGCTGAAAACCCTTGTGTCTACGGGCACTTCTATAAGTGGGGCAAAATGGAAACCAGAGGAGAGCAGGAAGCCACAGCACATGGTTATCCTGTGGACCACAGCTATGGTGTGAGTAGGTGGTTAGGGGGTGATTATTTGTATTAATCTGGGGAAGAGGAATTTTACAAACATTTATTTCTCCTTGCCTTCTTTTATTAGTGGATTTTTAAAGGAAAATCACGGAGTCAGTCCCGATTCCCATTTAGGTAAATGTTTCCAGTTCATTTAAAGCTTATCAGCTTCTGTGTTTTGTACTACTGCAGATGGGTTTGTAGTTCTGTTTAAAAGATGGGCGGTGAGTACTTCTGTAGAAACTTAATCCAGGTTTAGAAGTGTCAACAGATGCCTCATGAAATCTGACGGGGCTTAGGAAACAAAAGTAATTTCCTTGTTTGGTTTGGGGAGGGGCAGGGCCCAGAGCTAGGTGCTTATTTCAGTGCTTATGCCTTGTAGAAAAATTAAAAGCAGGGAGTAAACCTTTCCTGCTACAAAGATCAGAGATTTAGAATGGATGGGTCTAATTTTGTTTTGCATTTATATTTAGTGGCCCAGATCTCCTTGCTGAGGGCCAGTGCGTGCTTAGCTAATGAGTGCATTCCGAGGAGACCTTGGCCGCAGTAAGGAGGTCATGGCCAGCCTCCCCATCTGGATGCCCCAGAGGGAGATTTGGCACAGTGACCATCGGGGCCATGCAGGGCTTACCTGAGGACTTGTGTTCGTGCTCTCCACTCACCTGCATTGTCAGTTTATAAAAATCAAAGGCCCAGGCAGGAGCCCAAGTGCTGACCCTGAGTTATTAAATCGGCTCTTCTGGCCATTTTTTTTTTTTTTTCTTTCACAGCCGCAGAGCTGCCCACCAGCCACAGACCCTGACCCCGTGCTGTGGTGTGTGCCTTTCTCCGCCTCGGGCCGACAGCCTTCCAATTTGTAAAGGCGTCGTTAAATCGAGTTCAGACTGTTGATTCCATTTTTCTGTGCACAGTTTGTCCGTTCTCTCCGCTTTGCTGCCTCGTGTGAGGACTTGGCCGTGGCCAGCCTCGGGGGAGCTTCGGTTCAGTTCACTGAGGCCCACTTTGGCTTTGGGGGCAGCCCACGGCCCTCTGGTGGCGCTGGGAAAGTAACCCGGGCATGCGCAGAGAGGTGGCCACCCCTCCCAGGACTGGTGCACCTGTGCCAGGCACTGCCGGGTAAGGGCAAGCCTGAGCTCTCCGCAGCCTCCTCCCTTTGTACAGATCGGGCCCCTCCGGACCTGGGGAACCCTTGAACTCCAGATCTGGCTGGAATATAAGGAGGCTTTTGCTCCTGGTGTCCAGTTATTCTATATGTAGTGGAAGCTCAAATCGGTTAAGTATGTGTGTATCTTAAAAATTAAGACTAGCTTTTGATACTGAGTAACCAGGGAGTAGACAGGTGGAAGGTTTTCTTTATTTTAATTTTAATTTTTTTTCTTTTTTAAGAGAGGAAGAGAGGGAGAGAGCCTGCGAGCAGGGAGGGGGCAGGCGGAGAATCCCAAGCAGGCTCCACACACTCAGTGCGAAACCCACTTTGGGGCTGTATCGCCTAACGGTGAGATCATGACCTGAGCTGAAATCAAGGGTGTGGCGCTTAACCGAATGAGCCACCCAGGCATCTCAGAAGTTTTTCCTTTAAGAAATTCTTGTAGTAACAATGAACGCGAAGTGGTGGAAATGGCAGATTGCCATTTGCAGCCACTAATGAATGAACATATCACAGAAAGACAACCAGATATCATGAGCCCCCCGCAATAGGACATAGTACCTCTTAGGAAATACTTACAATGCCCTGCACCCCTCTACCTTCTACCCCTCCCGCTAAAAAAACCCCCACCTAAGTCTGTTCAAGGGTCCAGGTGTCCGTTTTTTTCCCCTAAAATACATAGAAAGTATGGAACGCTTCACGAATTTGCATGTCATCCCTGTGGAGGGGCCATGATGATCTCTGTATCAGTCCACTTTTAGTATATGTGCTGCCGAAGTAAACACTGTCCAGCTACCAATTTAAAGGCATTACAGGGGACTGGCGGGAAAACATGGTGAATGGCACCATAGGCATACAAAAGGCAAATTCCAGACTGGCCACAGATCTGGATTTTTGAATGAGTAAATTGCAAGAGGGAGATAAAGAGAGATGAAGAGGAAAACCTGTAAAGATTTTAAAAGACATACTGGTCAAGCTCTGTGGGGACCTTATCTGGATCCCGATTCACATGAATTAACTTGTAAAAACCAGGCATTTGAAGCGACACCTGGTTGGCTCAGTCGGTTAAGAGTCCGACTCGGGGTTCGTGAGATTGAGTCCTGCGTTAGGTTCTGTGCTGACAGGGTGGAACCTCCTTGGTCAGATAGGTGTGCTTGCGCGCTCTCTCTCGCTCTCTCTCGCTCTCTCTCTCTCTCTCTCTCAAATAGTAAACTTTAAAAATAAACACAAAAAAACCCAGGCATTTGGAAGTTTGGTCATCGTGTATGGGATTGGGGCTTTGTGGGGTCTTTGAGTTTGTTGGGAATTTTCTATACTTAGAGATAAAAAAGGGAGAGATGAGAGGATATCTCTAAAAAAGCTTTTCCTAATATAAAAGCCATATGTGTTCATTGTAATAAGCACAGATCATATAAATATCTTTCTGAGTTAGTTACTTTGAATACCTTGGTGCATTTTTATATCTACTTGTCTTAGATTTTTTTATTTTTTGACAAAAATTGTATTCTATTGTAATCTGCCCTTTTCATTTTACTTTGTTTAGGCCATTACTCTTCCAAAACCTTTAGAACTGACCATTGAGAAGTGTTTAATTTAATGCTTCTACCATGGTGTTGCTTAACTATTTCTTTATCGTTAAATATCGTTGCAGTTTTGGATATTATAATGAGTTCTGTGATGAAAATCCTTCTAACTAAATCCCAACACTTGGCCTACTTTCCTAAAATAAATTCCTCGGAAATCTCAGGCAGTATTTGTCCCTAGTGTTTTGGATAGCTTTTGCTTGCACACTTTGCTTATGAAATGTTCTTCGCTTTCTTTCAGAACAGTAAGCCCCATATTTCGATATCCTTCCTGTTTCATAAACTTGTCAAGTTGCCGGCGGGTGTTCACACAGCTGCCTGTTGTTGCTGAGATCTTTGAAAGACACCCTGTTCTCATTGGAGCTTGGAAGGAAGATCCCATCTTTATTAGTTAGGCGTAGCCTTGTAGTGTCTGTAAAATAAATGAATATCCAGTGTTTCATCAAGCTCAGAACAGTGAGGCCTGAGCTGTACTTGGACATTGATCAGTACGAAGGGGAAATTTCCTTGGGAAAGCACAGTAGGGTGCTGGAAATGCGGTAGCTCCAGGCTCTGCAGCATTGGCATTCCAGACAGGTGTGGGGAGAACATAGTCTTGCCCTCGCTGGTGTTTTAAAATGCTTGTGTTGCATAGCTTGGGTGTGGTCAGCAGCTAGGATTGTTCAGAGACCTTGTAGAAACATCTGTTTTGTGGTCAGAGGTCCCCTCCCATATCTCCATCCTATTTTTCTCTTCTTCACCCTGGCGGGGAGAGGCGGGGCCATCCTTGAAACGATGGGCATGAAATAGCATCGTGTTTCTGAATTCCATACAGGAGCTTGTCTATTTCTTGTCCCTAGATGAGGGGATTTTGGTCACTAAAGAGTGAGATGTTGCGTGTTGGAGGCGGGTAAATGACGAGTGGTAGGAGAGGTCTTTTTGTGCCTTTAGATAACAGAAATATGAGTCAGATTTTAAAAGCTAAGGGTCAGGCACTTAAGTGGCTGAGTCGATTGAGCATCCAATGTCGGTGCGGGTCGTGATCTCCGGGTTCATGAGTTCGAGCCCCATGTCGGGCTTGCTGCCCATGGCCTGTCAGCACACAGCTCGCTTCCTATCCTCTGTCCCCATCTCTGCCCCTCCCCTGCTTATGCGCTCCCAAAAATAAATAGTTAAAAAAAAAAAAGCTAGAGGTGAAGTTGCTCTTCTAATTGTACAGTGCTCAGGATGAAAACAAGACTCCACCTAGGCCTTCTATGAAGGTAGGCGAGTGAATGGAAGTGCTTAGGACTCCTGCTTCGCCTTGGGTGATCCCTCTGATGGGGAGGTTTTGGATTTAAAACCACTTTTTTGGAGAAAAGTGATTAACTCGAGCTTAGTGGTTAAAAGCAAAGGTTTTGTAAGGCAGACAGGACTGAGTTTGCATCACAGCCACGCCACCCTAGGTTGGCGATCTTCAGCAGATGATGTGAACGCGTGCTTCCCTTTTCCCATTTGTAAAATGGTGAATAGTAATTGAACCTACCTCGCAGGGTGGCTGTGAGGGGTAAATGAAATAAAAATGAAGTAATAGATGTGTTTACAGTGATTAGAACAGTGCCTGGTGTGTAATAATGGCTTAATAAATAATAATTACTGATATGCTAGCTCTTTTAGAAGCATTTTAAGACATCTGATCCCACACAGAGATTGCATATAGTAGGCAGTCGGCTAATGCGTCTTACACGTCAGTTTGATTGTATAATAGGTTTCCTTTAACTCTTCCAGATGGACTGGGATACCCTTTGGTTTGAGTTGACCAGTTTACACCCTAGAGAAAGGAACAGATGAGGCATCCCTTTTTTTTCCCTTAACGGGCTCTGTGGAATCCAATCCATTATGTATACAGCACCTACTGTAACAGGGATGATCATGATCACATTTAAATTATACTGCGCACCTACAGAATTTCAGCAGATGTGTGAATATTAAGTTATTAATAACTAATTGGGTGCTAATTACGTTCCCTGGAGTTCTTGGAGCTGATAAAGAGGTGTCACCTACCGTGTCAGGCATCTCTCTCTTCAGCCCTGGAAAATCATTTTTGACAGATGTGCCGAAGTAAAGTTTTGAGCCCTAGGTTTCAAACGTCATCTCCCACAAGCCTTGGTTTTATTTTTTTGTGCGCCGAAACCTTCCTGTGAAATTGATGAGACTTTGGTAAGTAGAAGTGCCATTTGCAAAGAGGGGATGGCCGATACGCAGCCCTCGTTTTTCATCTGTGAGGCAATGTAAGAAGAGTCATCTTGGGGAAGAACTAAAGAATGTTGGAGGCAGTTCAGGAGTGATTGTAAAGGCCAGTGGGTTTTTGGTACGGTAGGGGAGATGCCTCTATTTTTGAAGGACCTTGAACTTGGATCTTGGAAAATTTAGTTTCTGCACGAAGGATACGCGTTTCATACGTGTCTCCCCACATCTGCACCAGTCGTTCCACCTCCATTCCAGTTGGTAATTGTCTGGCTGTTGTTAACCGTAAGAAAGCTTCGCGTTAGAAATCCTGGATGCAGGTCAGAATGCTAGGAATATGTACCAGGATGTCTAACATTTATGGAACCTTATTGAAGTATAGGAGTTTTTTTTTTTTTTTTTTTAAGAAATAAGAGAGTGAAAGGCTGTGTGTGTGCTATGAGTAAGTGGGGGAGGGACAGAAGGAGAGGGAGAGCCAGAATCTCAAGCAGGCGCTGTGCCCAGTGTGGAGCCCGGCTCCGTGCTCCATCTCATGACTGTGAGATGTTGACTTGACCCGAAATCAGGAGTTGGATGCTTAAGTGATTGAGGCACCCAGTTGACCCTTAAGGAGCTATTTTTTAAAAATATTTATTTTTGAGAGAAAGAGAGCAGGTCCATGTGTGAGTGGAGAAGGGGCAGAGAGAGAGGGAGACAGAGGATCCAAGCAGGTTCTGTGCTGATGCCAGAGAGCCTGATACAGGGCTTGAACTCACAAACCGTGAAATCATGAGGTGAGCGGAAGTGGAGAGCTTAACCCACTAAGCCACTCAGTCGCCCCTAAAGGAGCCATTTTTAATGTGGTACTCATTGAAAACACTACTCTCTGTTCCTTTTATCTCTCATTATGTGTCTGTGTTAGATTGCTAGAACTTTCTGCCTCCCACTTAGGAAAGGCAAGATACTCATTTGTCTTACAGTCAATACAATGAGAGAGGGTGTTGCTTTATGATTGACAGAACCCATTTGCTACTAAGGAATTGTTAGAATATTAGGGTTGCCTGGTTTGCTTTGTCTTTTAATATTAGCTTCATAAACTCACACAGTTGAAGAGACTCCCAAGCTTGGGTTCTTACTTCTCTTCCTACCCAACTGCAAGCTTTTTTTAAAAAAAATTAAAGCATCTCTAGACCAGGGATAAAAATATACTTTCAGTGATACAAGGGAAAACTGAAGATGAAAGTCAACAAATGGAAGCCTAGGTTTAGCAAATATTGACAACGATTAACACCTCTTCTTGGTCACATTGGCAGAAAACCTGGTGTTTGGGTTGAACCGCAGAAAATAAAAATTACCCAGTTGGCTTGTGGTTGATGGCTTTGTCCACACTAGACATGGCTGTCCCATCCTGTGTTTTCTGCTGTCTGAAATCCCTTTCTGGGTTTGGGCCTTGTCTGCTGAGTCGTCGTGGAAGCAAAGTGTGTCTGATGATCAGATTTCCCTTGCAGCTAATATGGGGGGGCCATGTGACCTGGACTCTGCTAGTTACATACGTCTGCCTCGGACTTCGGATCTGGTGCTCGTATTGCAAAGACGGGGACAGGGAAAGCCATTTGGGTGGTGGCTGCAACAGCATGTTCACAGGCACAGTGGTGGTCGGAGGACCCTCTTTGCCTTAACTGGGTTGGCTCCTAACCTTGGTTATCAAGCCCAGAGATTGGAACTTTTTTTTTTTTCTTTTGATAGTAAATATTTCAGGTTCTGGGGGATAGATATACAGTCTTTTCTGGAACGACTCAACCTGCCGTTGTAGTGTGAAAGCAGCCATGGACAGTATATGGATTTGGTTACAGTTTGCCAGTCCCCGAGCTAGCCTCCCCCATGGTCCTAGGGGCTCATCTACCTCATATGTGCAATACATTGTTTTTCTTACATTACAACCCTACATTGGGCAGGGTTGGTTTATTTTTCTTGCCTCTAGGATGCTCATTCCTACTTCGAGACTCCTTAGCCCTAAT